TTTAGGGGTGTCTACCCTATTAATAAGGAAAAAATACAGACCACTTCATCAGACGACCTAGAGAGTTTCTCATAATTGGATGACGACTTGTGGATATTTAAGTGTCTTAACAATGTCAAAATTGAGTGATTTTGGGCTCGTTGGACTCATCTTGTCAAGAAACTCGATTTGACTATAAGCTTGCCAAATTTGAAATTCATTTGACCTTCCAAATAGTCACCTAATGCTTTCAAAAGTGGATAAAGGCTTTTATTCAGGCTCAATCTGATCAGGGTTGAGTCAATTTTGGTGTCATTGGATCCTTCTCGTCAAGCTGATTAGTTTTATTATAAGCTTGCTGAAATTGGATTTTTAGATTTTTTTATTTGAATTTGAATGTTTATTGCTAAAAAATATTATGAGATTCAAGCTAATTATCTCGAGATTCATACAAAATAATAAAATTTGTTGATGACATATCATTTCCAAATCAAAATTTTACTTCAAAATCTCTTAATAATTTTTTTATTCAATCTAGAATTATTATTTAATTAACAAAAAAACTGAACTGGCCAATATTAGAACCAGTCCACTCATAAAAAGTTGGATCAGGTCACTAGATCAACACCTATCGAAGCTAATATTGTGTAAAAATGATTTTGATTTTGATTGAATTGATTGAAAATTATTTCACAATTGGGCGGAGGCAGTGCCGCTTCGGGAAGTTACAACAAATCAGGTCCTTCAATTTTTCAAGACACAAGTTGTTTACAGATGTGGAGTTCCTCAAAACATAATGAACAGCTTTCAAAAAATACAAAGATAAACAACTTTGTTCAAAGACACGGAATAAATTGGAGATAGTCAACTAACCGGACCTACCGAACATATTGAATTTTTAAAATCATCAATATAATCATCTTGTTGGGCTATTTTTAAGTGCTATTAGTCGATATTGCGGTTAATACATATTGATTTCCTGCAGTGTAAATATTAAAAAAAAAAGAAAAATCTATTAATAATTGTCACGTCACTATTGATAATTGGCATGACCATCGATGTAGACATTCATAATAATGAGAGTTTGGGATTTCTAAATCCATAACATGAAGCACATAATGCAGCATTAGGCTATGTGGTCCGTGAACGATAAATTATTGCATAGCTACAAATGTATAATTTAGATGTGAATTGATAGATAGTCCTACTCGCATTTATACGAACCCAATTGACTGCCTTGATTTCTTTTGGGGAGATTTACCCACAGAGCACACAATTCATGCATATTTACATCTCACACCTAAATTTTTATATTTACATATATAATGTTTTGATATATGCATAAAAAAATATGTTTTTAATATTTAAAATATAATGATAATTTTATTTTCTTAAGTCATCTGAAAGATTTGAGTATCATGTGTGTAAATATGAATCTTTAGATGAGAGATGCGTGAATAAATAAGCATTTTGAGTGTAAATACCCCCTTTATTTTATTGAGCACTCCAAATCTGAAATGGTAAGATCTCTATTATTATTATTGATGCTTCATGAATAAATTTTCATAATTTGACACGAATCTCAAAGCGTGATATAAATATGGAGACATTTTTAGCGAGATCCAAAACTCCTATTTCAGCAAGCTAACCTTCAAACTGACAGACTCGATGAGACAGACTCGATGACATCAAAATTAATTCAATATGAGTCAAATAAAGCCTGAATCAAGCTATTAAAATCATTTTGGAAGTTTTGGGTGGTAAGTTGGAGGGTTAAATTGATTCCAAATTTGACGAGCTTTTGGTCAAATTGAACATCTCGATGCAATGAATCCAACTAGATTAAAATCACTCTATTTTGACATCTTTAGAGCATTCAAATGTCCACAAAACATCATCTAATTAAAAAAAACCAGCTAGGGCTAGCCGATGGAGTGATCATGATTCATGCCTTATTTACAATTGATGTCACCCTTAAAATTTATAACTAAAGTCTTACTCCCTTCATGAAAGAGGGGATGACCCAGACCTAGAGCTGGACCGCGAAAATGTGTCGAGTTTTATTGTTATTTTGGATCAAAGACCCTACGAACTGTTCATGCTCCCGCAACTGTCGATCCCTTTCGATCATCGCTCATCAGCCATCGTCGACCCCCATCTATCACCCCCTTCTCTTTACCCTTGGTGGACATTCTGGAGTAACGATGCACGTTGCAACAAAGCACTGTGCGGAGTCACAACGTACGTTGTGGTGTAATAACACACATTGAAAACGATGTAGTGATACACCTCGAATATGGTGTAACCACACAGCCTGAATGTAGTGTTACAACATACCCTTAATACGAGATAATAAATAATGTCATATTGAAGATTCAACGATAACTCCCAAAGACAATGACTTTCAACCACCTTACTTAGGATACAATAACTTTCTTCAGTGCGAAGTCCCATTTCAATTAACCCACGAAGAAGAAATGAGGAAGAGAGCAAGTGAGGAGTCGGAAAGAGAAAGGAGCGAGAGGAATTAAATAATTGGGAAGATGAGGAGGGGATAAAGCAAAGAGTAAGGAAACTCAAGGTTACTTTCACCTTATAAAAGGACACGCCTGAGAAAGATGAAGGTGAGAATGACTTACCTGAAAGTCGATTGACTATGCGAATGGTGTCTTTGCCGATCGAAGAAAGACGAGAGAGAAGAAGCTCGCGTGATGTGCGAGCACAGAGGAAGATGCTATGAGGAAGAAGTGTGAGGAAGGATGGCGCTGAAGCAGAAGGAGAAGATGAGCAGTGAAAGGAAGAGGCATCGACGGCTCTGGTGCGGAGGTCATGCTGCCTTCACATGTAGTGGGAGTTTCTTCTCGTGTGGTTAGGAATCGATCGACGAGCTAGATCAAAGGTAAGGTTATAAGGTGTAGGGGTGTAAACGAGCCGAGCTTGAGCGAGCCCAGGCTCAGTTCGTGCTCGACTCGTTAAAAAATATCACTATTTGGTGTAAACGAGCCGAGCTTGAGCGAGCTCAGGCTCAAATCGTGCTCGACTCGTTAAAAAATATCACTATTTATTCTCAACTCATTTATATATCGAGAACAAAAAAATTGTTTGTGTTCCACTCGTATGTTTAATGAGCCGAACATGAGTCTTTTGCAAACGACAAGCTCTTTTGATAGCCCTAATCACACAATTGTAGGATGTTAAATGTGAAGGCGAGATTTAAATCTTATTATTTATATTAAAACATCCATTTAAATAGAGTTAAATATATATTTATTATTTTATTCAAAATAATACTCATTAATTATATAAATAAATATATGTAAATAATTTAATTATTTCGAGTCAAATCGAGCTGAGCATGAACAAAAAAAACTTTGTTTATGTTCGGCTTGTTTATATATAGAATGCAATAAAATTGTTTGTGTTTGGTTCCTTTGCTTACCGAACGAATGGAACACGAGCTATTCGTGAACAACGAGCCGTTTTGAAAGCCCTAAAGGTGAGTTTTAATAATTTTAATTAAAACATGTAATAAAAATTCTGCACATATATTTTGCATTCATAATACTTCTGCAATCCCATCTTTCTTAATTCAGAAGAATGATGTACACGTGTACTAACAGTTTACTTCGACTAGTTTGGACCCCATAATTTTTTCCGTATCAAGGATTTTCCACGTAAAAATCATGATGTCTCGTCATATTACTTCTCTATTATCTGTATATGCGTGTTGGATTTTCGTATGCTCAATTTATTATTCTTCCGCTGACATGTTATAATTTAATTATTTTGAGCCAAATCGAGCTGAGCATGAACAAAAAAAAATTTTGTTTATGTTCGACTTGTTTATATATAGAATGCAATAAAATTGTTCATGTTTGGTTCCTTTGCTTACCGAATAAATGGAACACGAGCTATTCGTGAACAACGAGCCGTTTTGAAAGCCCTAAAGGTGAGTTTTAATAATTTTAATTAAAATATGTAATAAAAATTCTGCACATATATTTTGCATTCATAATACTTCTGCAATCCCATCTTTTTTAATTCAGAAGAATGATGTACAAGTGTACTAACAGTTTACTTCTACTAGTTTAGACCCCATAATTTTTTCTGTATCAAGGATTTTCCACGTAAACATCATGATGTCTCGTCATATTACTTCTCTATTGTCTGTATATGCGTGTTGGATTTTCGTATACTCAATTTATTATTCTTCCGCCGACATCTAACAATTATTTTTTAAAAAAAATATTTTATAGATAAAATATAACATTATTATTTTTCTTTTTTTTTTTGGATGAGCAGTTACCCAAACGCGCCAAATTTTTCCCTTCTCAAATCATCGCTATTAATTTTACTCCATTTATTTTTATTTAGGAAGATTTACGTACACACCACTCAATATTGTTTTATTTATACATCTAACGCTTAATTTTATATATCATCTTATTTATGCATCAAAATATGTATTTTATTTTTTAATAATTAAAATAATAATATTTTTTATGTAATAAACAAGATCCCAGTGGCATAAATATAAAATATAAAGGCCCTTTTATTATTATTACTTTCTCTGGCTTTTAGTGGTCAAATACTGTGCTGATAGCCTATTTAGAACAAACTTTCCCCGTGCAAATGTTTTACATTGTTGTATTATAACTAAGCTCAAGCAATAATAAAAATAAAAAAATATATATATAAATAACATGGTCACATATAATTATATAAAGATGCTCCAAAGAGACAGCACAACATAAGCAACGCCTTTGCTCCTTACAGCTCCACCTCTCAGAAATTAATATGGTGGTCCTGCTGCTAGATGAAGACGACAAGACCACATTAAAAAGGCTCAACTCATTATCTAATAAAGTAAACATGAAGGCCCCTCAATCTTTATTTTTCTCACATGAAAGAGGAGCTGCAAACTGAAAGTATTAACCAAGTCATCAATACATCCTCTCATACTTCATACAATAATGTAGATCCTGATCTACAATCTAAACAAAAAAGAAAAAGTCTTCGATTCAACCACTAGGATGAACAACTCCCCACCATTCTCTCTGCACAAAAGCTAGAAGAGGAGTAGCAGAATCCTCAACTTCTTCATCTTCAATCTCCTCATCATGCTGCTCTGTCTTCGCCTCGAGCAGAATCAGAGAACATCGGCACAGAGGACAACTTGTTCTTCGATATTCGAGCCATTTATCAAAGCAACTTCTATGAAACAGATGGCTGCAGTTTAGTTTTCTGACTTGTTCGCCTTCTCCGATTTCTGATAAGCAGAAAATACAGAGTAATTGCTCGTCATGAACTCGTTTGTACTGAAAAATGGCAACATTTGTGTCAGGAAAGGAGGTGACTTTGTTGCAGACAGTGAGATATGTTTTTAAGGAGGTGGGATTCAGTGATTGTGTGAGTGTTGATGTTGTTGCTTGGAAGTGAAGGATTCGGAGAAGTGATTTTAGGAGGAGAAGGAGAGGGGAGAAGCAGGGGACAAATAGCATGGAGATAAGTGAGGATGAGAGAAGTTTTCGCATTGTAATCGATCTGCAGAGGAGAGGGAGAGGGGGAGAGGGGGAGAGGGAGGGGAGAAGAAGTGGGCGGCCATGGGACTGGTGGCGTTATATATTTCTTTTTTTACTAGTTACCACTGTAAGGAATGTATGGAGAGTTTTTCTAGATTGTTAGACCAACATTAAATTCATTGCTAAGGACTAATAAGTGATATTTAAGATTATTACTCCTTGGCCCAATGTAATTTATGCAGTGCCCGTTGTCCTTTTCTTCACAAGACACAATGCTTTACTCATTTGGAGTTTTAATAGATAATGCTTTACTCATTTGGAGTTTAAATAGATAAGAATTTAGCATGTAATCAATAATAAAATCACAAGTATAATGTTTTACTTTTTATTAGTTATGTGACCAATATTAAAATTTTGGATGAATGATTATAAGGAATTACTCCAATAAACCAGGATAATTACTTCAAATTATAAGATGAGTTTTTTAAAACTAGAAATTAAATAATGATATTTGGTAAGAAAATTTTTTTGATGTAACATAAGATAATAATTCATTACTATTCCTAATGTGTCATAAAAAAATTTAGGCGATTAGATATAAATCTCGATGCATTTTGGGTAAAATTTTTTACTATTTAAATTCAGAATCATCCAACTTATAATTTCAACAAAATAACAGTTAAATTGAACATCTTGATTATATAACCCAATATCATTGAAAGTAATTCAATCAGAGGTCAAATAAGCCTAAATCAAATACTTGAAGTGTAATTAAATAATTTGGTAAATTAATTAAATGGTATAATAATCTCTAGAGTTGACGTCTTATAATCAAATTAATTGAGTGGCACAATGAAAGGAGTCCAATGAGCTCAAGCTTATTTAATTTTGAGGTTATGAATGACTTAAATTTTGAAAAAAATGAATTGTGATTGAATGAATAATTATGACATGTCCAAGAGCTTTTTGAGATTTTGATTAAATTTACTAAAATGTATCTCTAAAGAATTATAAATAGAACCTTATTCTTTATATGCAAAGAAAAAAAGAGAAAGTGAAAATAGAACCTTATTCTTTATATGCAAAGAAAAAAAAAAAGAGAGTGTTATGATAACTAAAGCATAACTATTGAAGAGAAGTACAAGTGAATGACATTTGAAGGGAGGTTGCCAGTGGGAAGAAGGGTAGGGCCTATGGGTTGGGATCTAAGGCACAAACCTATGATACCTACCCATCATCTTGCACATCTGGTGCATCTACTTCCATTGCACAAGAAGAGGAGATGCACTATAGAAAGTAAGAAGCCAATGATGATTAGGGTGAGGATGATGATGATGAGGAAAGAACAGGGGAGGATGATGAGTAGGGGGTTATTTTATTTTTTGTTTGTTTGTATGTTAAAAACTTTATTGTTAGAAAACATTATTTTTATTGTACCGTCGTATACTTTGTTTCATTTAATACAATTATTTTTTTTTGTGTATATGATTTATGTGTTAATTACTTTTGTTACTGTGTTATGTTATGCTTTGATTGCATTGCTACGATTGTAGGTGTGCAGATAGTAGTGTTCAATGAGGGCTTTAAATTTTTTTTTTCTGATGATACAGGTTTTCAACGACTTATATGCCGATACTTCTTAAATGGTCTATCGAACAAGCAAAGTCTAGATAAAGTGTTGCACTTTTACTACAAACAAAACTGCCAATAAATTCACATTGTTAACCAACAGTTGGGCGATATTTTACCAATAGAACCATGACACTTTTCTGACAGATGTGCACAACTTTTTCTATGGTTATATGTGTTAGTTATGTAACTAACGGTCAAGCTACGATCAAACATGACATATTTTTTGGATGTCTAGCAGAAGTTATGGTACGTTGGATACCTGTCAGTTAATGTAAACCATCGCTAAATAATCCACCAGTAATTTCATTTCAGACAAGCATTTTTGTTATGTCAATTTAGTCATTGGTAAATATATTATCTACATTTTTTATTACCGATGATATTTGACCTTCAATGATAAACTAAATTCTTGTAGTGTATGCAACATGTATGAAGTGATCTAAGCATCATAATTGGGGAGTCCCGAATAGTATGCAAGGGGGATATATTCATGCATTTTATCATCATTTTAAAATTTAATTGAAGGCCATGCAAGAAATTAAAAAGAGGAAAAAAAAATACATTTTAAAATCTTGAATATTTTAGTTCTAAATTTTATTCAGATTAATCTTTAACAATAGCTTTTATAACAAAGATTTTAACTTAAAAAACCTAATTATGATCATATCCAAACAAATCACATGTATAAGAAGAGTCAACACATGCAAAATGTAGTAAAAGTAATACTCAATATAAGATAATAAGCGGTCGGGTGCCGCTGGGTCGTTTACAATCCCAAAAAAGAAAAATGATGGTCGAGCTCCACATACATAATTGATCATAAAACTATACAACACATAAATAAATCCGAAATAAAGGTATGAGGCATGAGCAAATTATTCCCGGTCATCTCCACACATTTCATGTTCTATTATTTTATGTTTGCTCACTATTATTTATTTAGTAGAAGGTTTAACGATTTCTCTCTCAACATCTAGAATCATGGTTATGGATTTTCAAATTTTGTTTGAAATAAAAACTAATGAGTGGCATGTTGGTTGAAAGCATAGTCCATCAGAATGGTTTGCATATACTTACTAGGTTTTCTATTTAGAGCAACAATTTTTATTGTTTTAGATCTTTATCTTTACCAAAAAATGTTATAAAAGATCAATAATCGAGTATTTATGTTATTCTATAATAATTGAACCTTTAATAATCTTCATATTGCTTTCTTGAATTCAAACTAAAATGCCAAAATTGAAAGCTTCTTTGAGCTTCCTAAGATCTCTCACTTTCCAAAACACTACTTGCAAAAAATCCCAACCATTAAACTTAGTGGTGGAATACTTTAGGTAGGTTAATTTGTAATCATTGACCTATAAATATGTCTCACTTTTAAAAATTGCTTGTGCTCTTTTCCTCTTAGAAGCGTTAATGGATTTATTGTTTTATAGTTCAAAAGATACTTACCTTTCTCTTTTCAATGAATCTTGTATAAATGAAGGCTATTTGAGACAAATTCTTGTAAGTTAAGTAAATTTATTTTTATCTTCTTTATGATTGCTAAAATAATTAATGTTATTGTTATTATACTTTGGTTCCTTTTCAACCATTTCTCACTATTTAATTCTTCTTACTTCAAAAACATTAGAGCTACTGATGTCCTTCTGATGGGGACATGTTAGTCTTGAATTTAAAAAATGATCTCTCTATGGTTGATATCCAAAAGATTATTTATTGTGGCTTTCATTCTCAATGACCAAAAATTGCATGTCATAAAGAGTTATTCTTTAGATAACTTAGATACAATTTTTAAATGGCTTTAAATTACAAATAATCTTTGTGTTAGGGGAATTAGTACAATGACACATATATTTTATGTTTTAACAAGAATGAAACCCATTATCATCTCTTTTTTGGCTGCTCTTATTTTATGTGACCTTTAGAATTACTCTTTTATTCCCATTAATTTCTTGTAAGAGCCACTTTATAGTAATTCAAAAATTTTGCTATAATTATGAGCATCATATTAGATGTAAGCTTTATTTATTGGTTGCGAGTGTACTGATATTTAATATTTGCCTTAACGTTGATAATATAATTCATAAATCAAAAATTAACAATCAAATTATTTGCTACGCCTTATTAAATTTTAAATTGCCTAAATGCTTAAGGGTTAGGATTAAAACATAACTAGCCCCCAATTGTTGATGTTTTGCTTTGACATTAGATAAATATTTGTGATAGTTCTTTCTCCCTCTTAACTATTGTTTTGAGTTTCTTTTTGATAACCTTTAATATGGGGTATCACTTCTGTATCAAAATCACCTTGATTTGTCATGCTAGATTTAGGGTGCGTTTGGGCCAGCTTGTGCTTATTCAGATAAGCCGTTTATCTGAAAACGCGGACCGCGGGATGCGATCTGTGTTCTGCGTTTAGTGTAAAAAATTATCTGTGTTTTTGGATAAGCTGCTCAAACACAGTTTTCAAACTGTGAGGTGATATTTTCAAAACGTCTCCGCAGCGGATAAGATGCCCCAAACGGAGTCTTAATTGCTAGTTTGATCCTTTTCAATAAAATATTGAAGCCTAATGGCTTCAAGGAATTTATTTTAATATTTTGGTTGATCTATAGGACTTAATAGCAAGGTGGTTGAATGATGATGTATGCAATTAATTCAAATGCTTTAGGATAACATACTTGGATGGATTTTACTTAGATATCTTGTTAATTAAGGTGCTTTCTCTATTGTTAGTGTAGAGTCGCTTTTGTTTCATGATTGAAGAAAATTTCTAGTTTCATATAAAGTCCAATCCCCATCTTTTCACTCTAAAATTTGTCTATCTACATTTTGACACCGAGCCCTTTTTTTCTCTTGATTATGGTAATATAAACTAAAAACTCTAATTATTTAGGATATTAATATATATCATTGATGTAATTCTATTGCGTTCCTTTGTTACTTTTTTTTTCCAACTGTAGATGTAAGGATATTAATATATATCATTGATGTAATTCTATTGTGTTCCTTTGTTACTTTCTTTTTTTTCCCCAACTGTAGATGTCTGGAGCCCAAAATTGGTGATACTATCCAAAGAGTATTAAAATAATTGATCATGAGGGTGGGTGTGTGAGCTTAATTGGAGGCCATTTGTTTTCTTATTATTTTTTAAAATATTG